TATAAAATAATAAATTATCTATTATTTCATAGTTTTCTGCTCTATTTCTTATCGCATCGATATCTGTGTGCTCAAAGCTTTCGGGGTCTTTCAAATATGCATAGATACTTCCAAATTCAGGATCAGCTTTCAGTTCAGCAATAATTGTATCTCTAGAATCTAAAATTTTTGAAGTCAACACAGCGCATTTAAGTTCATTCCTTCATCGTCCAGTTTTATACGAGAAAGTGCGTCAGCTACATTGTTTTCCTTACCCGGTTTATATTTTATTATGAGATTATATTCTTGGAGTTTTAAAGCCCATCTTATTAACCTGGGCGTTAGGTTTTTCCCCGAGTAAAGTCTACCAACAGCCGCATGATCCGAAAAGACTGTTACTGGCGCTTTGCCGAAATAAACTCGAAATTTGTGTACAGCCATTAATACGGCTAATGTTTCTCTCTCTGTAGCTGTATAATTCCTTTGTGTATGATTCAACGTTTTACTAAAAAATGCCAAAGGATGGCCATTTTGCATAAGAACCAACCGCACCCCCCCCACCGCATCTGACGCATCTGCTGCAATTTCCAGGTTTTCGTCCCCCTCCGGGAATTTCAAAACAGGGGCATTGATGAGCGCTTCTTTTAATCTTTCAAATGCTGTATTTGCTTCCGCTGTCCACGTAAATTTACTTTTCTTTCTTTTAATTACTAAGAGTGGTTCAACAATATTAGCAAAATCTTTTATGAAAGACCGATAAGTAAGAACATAACCCAAGGAAAGAAGAAAGTTTCTTGGCGGTGTTGGGAGGTGGGAAATTCTTGATGCTTTTATTTTTGAATCTTGCGTTTCTATACCCTTTTGCGAAATTTTATAACCGAGATATTTAAGTTCTTTAGTTGCGAACTTGCATTTTGAGGCGTTAATTGTAAGACCGGCCTCTTTTAATAATTTAAAAACTTCTTCTAGATCTTTAATGTGTTGTTCCAACGTACTACTCGTTATAATTATATCATCTAGATAGATTAAAGTTGATTTTCCTAGGACAGGCTTTAGAACAATGTCCATAGCTCTCTGGAATGTTGATGGGGCCCCACACAACCCAAAAGGCATGCGTAAAAATGCATAAGTGCCCGATTTTGTTATAAACGCGGTTTTATGTATGTCTTCGGGTCTCATAGCTATTTGATAGTAGCCAGACGTTAAGTCCAAAGTAGTCATGTATCTTGTAGATTTGATCTTTCTAATAATTTCCTCTATAACCGGCAAAGGGTAAACTGGGAAATTTAGTAATACTATTTAGTTTTCTGTAATCGATAGCAAACCTCCAAGCCCTTTTATCCGAAGGAGGAAACTCGTTCTTTTTCCTACATAGTACGACTGGACTCGCGTACTCACTATTTATGGGCGTTATTATTTTATTCTTTAACATCTCCTGAATATGTTCTTCGATGATTAAGTCTTTTTGTTTATCATAGCGATAGGTTTAGTCCTACAAGGTTTTTCGGCATTTAACTGTATCTATGCGTAACTATTTGACAGTTTCCCGGTTTTTCTGAAAACAAGTTTAGAAAAATTACTCACCACTTGCTGGATTGCTTGACTTTCATGGTCATTCAAATGGCTAAGGTCCAACTTGCGGTGTCTCCACTGGTTCCACCACCCTCTGGTCCATCTCCAGCACCACGGAACTGTCCTTGAAAATTCAATTTGGCCCTCGCGGCCCTTAAAAACTCCATACCTAAAATAAGATTTTGAGGTTTTCACTACAAAAATTAATACTTTGAGGCTTTCCTCTTTTACCTGTAAGTTTAATGATAATTTCCCGATGCAGTGACATGTTTTTTCCTTGCGCCGCTATAATTTCCGTATTTTTGGTTTTAAATAATCGTACCTATAAAAATTCTTTTGAAGAAATTTTCACTCATAAAATTACCTTCTGCTCCTGTATCGATGAGGGCTTCTACTGGTACATCGCCAACCAGGACTTGTATAATTGGTAGCTGTGAGTTTTTTACGATGACCGTATTTAAATGTCTTTTGAGGGTTTTTTTCAAAACTTCCGGGGTCTGGACCCTCGCTTTCACAGGCCCCTCTACTCGTTTTAAAGCTTTCCTTTCAATCTGTGCCTTCTGGGTACGCGGATTTTATTTTCAAATTTCTTTTTGGGCCTTGACCTTCGAGTTTCGATGAGTTAGCTTGATAGCTCTTTCCCCCATAAGAGCGATTTGCATTTCTGGTCTCCTCATTTCCTTCGGGTACTTTGAGAATACGATGCCCCTCTAGCTTTTTCCGCTATTCTGCGATTTTGAAACTTCACCGCCAATTCGAAGAGCTCCTGCAATGTGCTTGGGTTTCTAATTTCGAAGTAGTCTTGAACAGCAGGTAACAATCTTGGTAAGATTATTTCAATAATCTCCGCGTCGGGTTTTTTTCCCATACAGCATATCCGTCAGCTTAATTTTTCGTAGAATAAAGTCCGTCAACTCTTCTATATCCCGTTGATAAAAACTATATAGTTCGGCTTCCAGCCTTGCTCGATCTTTCACTATGGGGAAGGCCTTTACTAACGATTTTTTGAAATTTTCAAATGTATATGTCTGGCTTCCAAATTCCCCTAATAAAAATTTGCCTATATTTTTTCCACCATAGCGCGGCCTGTCCTCTTAGTGCAGATGTGGCGATGGCAACTTTTTGTCTTTCAGGCACAGGGTAGAGCTGAAAGTGGTTTTTCTATAGGCCTTCTAAAAATACGGCCACCGAATTTTTTTCCGTCGAAATTGACGTTTGGCTTGATTGACGCTCTCAAAGTCTGGACCAGGTATCCAAATCCTTCCAATTGGCTTGCCATTTCTTGGTGTGTCCCAGCGGCTTCCATCCAATTTTCGGCCATTTCAGTTCGATAAGTGTTCGGGGCGCCAATGTAACGTTGCGCGCCTCCAACTGCACGCAACCTAGAGGTGACTGTGAAACTTGTATAAACCACAGAGTCTTATAAAGGGTTTAAGTCCCTTTTTATTCAACGTAATAATAAATTACAATGGCGTCGTCTTGACGCTCACAAACTGTGCCCACTAGGCGGTCAAATAAAAATAATAACCTGAAAAGAAAGTAAAGACAAGCTTCTAACTACGAGGCTCTCTAAAATAACTAACTCACCGCGTTTTACAAATACCGCTGCTAATTCAGCAAACTTGAAGCTCACGTTGGAACAATTGCAACTACTTCCGAGGCAAGCACACAGGCCGCAACGCGCGGTTCTTCAATTCTCGATAACTACCACCTCCGCGCTCGCTAAGTAAGAATAACTGTCTCACCGAACTCGTTTCCTTCTATTTAAATCATACTACTTCCGCTGATAATTTGAATGCTTGCGCGTTCTACTCAAATTTACATATTCTGGCATTGGCAGTTCCAGGGGAAAGTAAGGATTGACAGGAAAGATAGTTTAAACTTAAAATAAATGTTAGTTAAAATAAATATAAACCCTACAAGTGAAACAAGTTGGTGAAACATGCGCTCACGCGATAACAATAGACAAAAAAGGAGAGAAAACAAAGTTGCTAGAGTTATCTATTGACAAAACTTGAAAGCAACAATAAAATTATTTCTTTAAAAACTGAAGGAAATGATGCATTTAGAATGAAATCAATAAACAAATATGAAAGATTTAAAGATGTATTTAGAGTGGGATCAATAAAGAGACATGAAAGATTTATGAGTGTTAAATGCCTCTACAAAATCTAATTCCTCAATAGAAGGTTTTTCTTAAAAAATACTTTTGGCTACAGAGAAAAGGAAAATGTGATTTCTTGACCAATAATATTGGGCAATAGAAGATTTAAGAGATGCTTCTTTTTTCTACATACTTCTTGCTCCTTCGTTCGAAATTTCAAGGCTCTCCTAGTTTGACCAATGTATACAAGGCTATGCTGCCACAGAATGCCCTAAATACCTCAGAATTCATATCCGATAGTCTTTTAAATATCGAATTACGAATGTTACTGGTAAGATAAAGAAACAAAACGAAATTTAAACTTCTGCAATTAAAAAAAATCCTTCTTTAGCGAATTAAAGTTTCCCAGAGGTATTTCACATTTATAAAAGTCTTCTAGTTCTAATTAATGACTGCAATTCTAATTTCATCTTTACACTGAGCTCCTTTTAAAGAAATTCTTTCCTAACTGCTACCACGTTTTATCAGGCACCAATGGAGCTGTTTCGTATCCTTTTATCTATTAATATGGTGTAAATCCATGTTTCCTCTTCTTATTTTCTCTTGTGCAGCTGAAGAGGACGTTCTGTTTAACCTTCGAAACTGGAGTCTCGCAAATATACACAGAATTTTATTGTTAGAGTATGTTTAACAGCGTTCCGTGGCATTTATTATTATTGTTATTATTGTACATAAAATAGCTATCAAAAAGGATTAACTTCACCAGCTAAATAGGATCTCTTCTGTGAAACTTTCTCGCGGCATTTTGTGGTGTTTTTGCAGTATTAAAATACAATTTCATTTTTATGCTTTTCCCAACAAATTCTTGCAATATGGATGGCATTGTTTTGGGGAGGGATTTAAGTGCGACTGTTTGTTACTCAGCAACTGCCAAATTATGTATTCCATATTAATTAGTCCTTAAAAAAAAAAAAAATTCTGAAGGAAAATTATTGAGTCATTGATTTTTCGCTCTGATTTGCAATAACGCCATAACATACCTTCTGTTAAGGTGAAATAAACAGGTAACTACACTTAGCGCAAAATCAGGATTGCGGTTTCGTTAATCGAAAATAATTTAATTTTGATATTTTGAAAATACTGGAGGTAAGAAAAAATCATAATCTAATGCCTAAAGCTTTAAATTGCTAGAATCGACGTAGCATACCATTTTTTTAAATGCATATCAAAATGTCAGTTGTTGCCAATAAATTTACTATCAACAGAAAATATATTTTGTCAGGTGCATAACAACAGCATTACTATTTAAATAAAATTATATAAAATGAAGAATTTAGGTACATACTTTTCTATAGATATTTTCCGCTTCTCTGTATCGCATTAAATTTGTCAAGACTCGCCCTATGTTGAGGTAACTTCTAACATCATCTGGTTGTATGCTATAAAAAGTTTAAATCATAAATATTTAAGGAATTAATACTCAATGCATATATAAAATATTAGGACTCAGCTCATAAATGACCGGTATTCGAAGAAAAGAACTTTATTTTAATTTTCACATAATGTTACGAATTTTGTACATAGATAGATGATTCTAGTGCAGTCATTTGTGAAATTGTTGTATTTTGCTGCGTAATGTAACATGAAAAATCTACAGACGAGCTATGTCGGAAAATTGAGAATGCAGCGGCAAGTTTGTTTAACATTGAGTAAATGGGCATCTCGGTAATTTGGCGAGATATCGTCAAACTGACAACGGTTTTGGCGACTTATTTTGTCGCCAAATTTGGCGAGAAATGGGCCAAAATCACTAAACTTGACAACTTTTGGTCCGATTCCTGTATAACACTAATAGGGACTGTAATTGAATAAATGTAATTGATCACTATACTAGCTGTAAACGTAATTCGACTCTCATGTTGCTTTCCAGTAATTTCGAGAAGCAAAAAGTACTAAAAATATATCGGCGGCCGCCTGAAAACTATATAAGGGCGGAGAAAGAATCTGCTCTCAGTTATTGTTGTTGCGAGTTGTTAATTCAGCGTAAACTTTTGTACCTCCGGGCTGCTTTTCTCTTTAGATGTGCTTTGCATTGCGTTGTGTTTAACGTTCTCAGTAGTTTGAAGTGTAACCACTGATTGTACTGCGAATTTCCACAGAAAGTGCTTCTTTTCTTAAAATAAATTTTATTAACCTATCATTGGACCTATGGGCATTCAATTGCGAATCCGTGAGCAGGCAACAATCTATTCTTTTAATAAAATACATGCTTTCTGGAAGTTTTAGAAATATTCAGGACTGCTTCTTCGTAAAAGGTAAATTTTGGACACCATTTTACCTCTCGCCAATCATATCTGCATACAATCACATCTGTGGTAAGACTGCTATCACTCATAAATTTGCTTCTGACAAATAACTGTTTCAAACAATGTATTTCTACCCGTTTTACCATTGAAAGAAAAACACATGATTTTTCCGTCCTTTCGCAAAAAATTGTAAGTTGTTCGTTTTCAATAACCGATCAGCTATCAGTATCGAATCTCCCATCAGCAACCATCGTTTGTAATTAATTCCCGCTTTATATAGTAACCCCAAAGTGAACCGTCGTAAGTTGCTGTTTTATGCCATGTGACAAATCAGAAAATTTATTCCGAAGCGTTGTTTTTTCGAAATATTTTGAATGTGGGATACGACACAAGGCAGATAATGTCTTCAGTCCAAAAATTCGATAACGAGTTTTCAGTGAATAAGCTCGAATTAGGGTCACTACAACACGTTTTTACAATCATGTCTCTCTGTCAGGGTGTATATGACGATGATTTTTCGTATACGACAGCTCTTACATAAAAACTCTCAAAATTTCTATTTTTCATATTTACATTTTCTCAATTCATATAAAGAGTTGATTAGGTTTCGGGTAAAATTGGACAACAAGAAGTGGTACTTGAAGCCTATAGGTATTTAATGAGCAAAGGGAAGTGTTACTTTACTTGAAGGTCATAACAAAGTTTCCAGTAATCAAAAATACATATTTTTGCATACCCAAACATTTATATCTTTTATGTTTACTCCTCCTTCATTCCTATTTCATTGATTAAATTTTGGATAAACTTGAACAACTATAAGTGATACTTTACTTGAAGTTTATAATTGTTTTGCTACAATCAACAAAAAATATTGTTGCATACTATATAAACCAAATATATTTTTGCATTTAAATGAGTATTGTTTACCGATACGTAAGTGAAGATCAAAATAAATTTACGGATTTGTTGATACTTACATACAAGAAAATTAAATACAAGAAATTAATAACAAGAAATACAAGAAAATTAATAACATACAAGAAAATTAAATTATGGTATTCGTTTCAAAGTATTTATTTAAAATACACTGCTAGCCGTTATAATTGCGACATTATGAAGGAAATCAAATACAAAAAATATATTTGTTGTACATAAACAGCATGACATGAAGACAAAATGATTAAATTTGTATGCAGTTTGGGGGTTTATACGGGTCCGAAATTAGTAGAAACAGTTGCCACCCCTGGCAGCTAAAACTCGGTTAGGTATGGAGTCGAACTGGGATTGGATGACAGAAACGGGCAACTCATTCCATGCTGCTTCAAGTCTATGCCACACTTCATCAACCGCATTAGCTAAAGAAGGGTGAGGAGCCAATCTCTCAGCAACTCATGACAATATGTTTTCAATGGGTTACAGGTCTGGAAACCGTGCTGGCCAGGGAAGCAATCGAATACCCTGTGTATGGGGGAAGGTCAGCACATGACGTGCAATATGTTGTCTTGCATTATCTTGTTGGAAGATGGCGTTTGGCTCTCCTCGAAGATAGGGCAAAAACAATGAACCTAAGATGTCAGAAATATACCGATCTGCGTTCAAATTACCGTTAATCGGAATTAGAATGTGCTTATCGGGTACCCAATGGCTGCTCAAACCATCACACCAGGTGCAGGGCCCCTATGCCGATATGGAATGCAAGCAGGCGATGTGTTGTCTCCTCGGAGCCTCCAGACACGTATGCGGCCATTAGAATATTGCCCGCAGAATCAGAAATCGTCTGAAAAGACGACATTGTGTTTATTTCTGTATCCAGCTTTGTCGTTCGGCGCACCAAAGTCACCATCTCTCTCTATGATGGATTGTCAAGGCAAGCCGAAGTAATGGTCGCCGTGATGATAGTCACGATGCTGAAAACGTAGACGCACCGTACGACCGCACACTGGGCGTGTTACAAACATGTCCATTTCCTGACTAATGGTCCGTGATGTGGTTGTACAGTTTTGCAGGACTGACCTCTCTATATGTCTTTCCTCTCGGGCGTTAGATGTGGAAGGGCGTTGAGTTCCTGAATGCCGTTCAGTATGACCTTCTATTAATTCTATATTAGCGTGACAGTGGTTGGACGTCGACCAGTGCGACGGGTGATATCACGGAACGATAATCCACACCCTCGGTAGACAACGATCCTGCCTCTATCAAATCCCGACACTTGATGGTAAGCATTTCTTCGTCTTATTCGAGGCATAACACGACATTCTAAGCAAACTTCGACCTTGCAAAGCGCTTTTCGAATAACAAATCCACTATACAACTTTTGTATGCAGTGCTTCAGATGTCGTTCTTCCTCCTGCGTCGTCTAAAATACGGTGAAATATTAATCATTTGCATATCCAACCTCTTCCTCCTTTCACGTGATTTTGATGTTTGTCATATCATACCTTCTTGGTGTTGTAATTTTAATGTTCAGCAGGATATATTATAAACGTTAATTTTCTTTCATTAATAATAATTCAGAATAACTCAATAAAACATAATTTTAACAAAAACATAAAAGTGCAAACAGTTGATTATGCTGTTATAAATTCAGGAAAACCAATTTTTACACAAGGCCAGTTATAAATAATAAAGTACATCGAAATACTTCATATTAAAGACTTTTCTATTTATTGGAGCAATAAATTTTGTTTTCAAATGATGAACCGAAAGTGAAGCTTGTTGCTATTTAAAAAATTGAATTGGCGGGAAGTCATGTGCTGGCGACATCAGAGTTTTCCCCCTTCTTTTTATGGTTTTTGAATTCTTTAAAAGCTCGCAAAATCATGTCTTCTAAGGTAATATTTCACCGTAAGGAACCCCAGATACTAAAGCTAGCGAACAAAGGGAATAATTAGAGATAGCTACAATTTTGTTTTGCAACGAGTTTCTTGATAATAATTGCACTGTTCAAAGCAACCGTTTAACTTTTTCCAAAACGAGAAGCATTCGCCGCATAAAATCAAACAAAAATTCTATTCTAACTTCGTTCCTCTAGCTGATGATATTTGCCTTCACATAAGCTCAATTGCTACAGTTGAGAATAGGCAATTCAGGCTCATTTTCCCCTTGCCCGGCTAGACTTGTAACCACGGAAGCAACAGCTTTCACAAATAATCGAGTGTTCTAATCTCCCTTTTTCCATTTCATTTCCGTTTAGCTTGTTAAGCTTCGTAAGAAGTGTACGAATGAAGGCTGACTTGAAATATAGTCTCAAATGAAGTGTAGAAAACTGTGATAAAATATGCTATATCATTTTAATAAAAATGTTTAATATTTTTTATTAGATGTTTCATGAATTAAATGCATTTTATTTAAGGCAATCCGATTCAAAAGTCAAAAAATAATATTCTTGTTCTTATAATAATAATAACAGCAGTTTTTGCTTTCAAATAGTTCGTTAATTTATAACAGATTAAACATGAAAGAATAATATCTTATTTTTTCCGAATGGCAACAGACTCGAATGAAAAGTGAAACAACACAAAACCGTGTTTCCAGACTAATAGCTGTTTTGGGCTAAAAATTCTACAGAAAAATGAGATTAAGAAATGCAATTAATTGTTTGATGGTCTCTCAAAAATTTCTAAAATTTCAACTAATTTTACAGTGAATTAACCATATGAGTTGCAAAATTAAATTATTTTGATGTGAAATTATAAATAAAATAAATGAAACGGATTTAATTGACTACACTGCTATAATTTGATTACATTTGAGAGCATCTTACATACAGGAAGTTCTTCAATGGTATTTCCTAATTTGGCATTTTACTTTCTTATTTAGCTAGTGCTGTCAGCTTATGGCAAACCGCGCAAAAGCTATTTGCCTAAGGGAAGAGATGACTTCTTCATAGAGTACTTTCTAAGGGAAATTGGTTCACATCCAGCTTACACCTGGGAAAACCACAAAAACGCCCAAGAAGCCCCCCTTCTGCCCTCCGTAAGTAGTTCGCCGAATACCAGCACACTATCATGTGGAAATAAAATATTTTGTTGGCAACACACTGCTTTCGAACAGCCGAGTTTATTGATCATATTTGAAAGATATGAAGAATTTGAAATGATCTTACACCTTACTGAGTGGCAACAGACTCGCAT